GGAAGCTTGATGTAGTAGTTCTCTAATTAGAATTAATTTTCGACAGGAAAGTCTTCCATGGCAACTAGTTTTTTATTTGGAAACTTTCTGGGTTCTTCGAAATTTTGGAAAACACTCAAGATTGTTGAGTAAATCAATGGAAATCATTCTCGTGTTTTTGCATAGTCAAAGATCGCTTACTCTAACGGGCTTGTTGTAGAAGTTTTCTAATTAACGCGAATTAGAGACTGAAAAAATCCATATCGCCAAGCGTTTTCCATTCGGAAACTTTGTGTGCTCTTTGGATTTGTGGGAAAACTGGCGGTTTTTGGGTGAATAATTTCTTTACTTCTATCAATGTTTCTGCCGTAGTTCTGTAACTAGTTTGAATTTGCGGATGCAAAATTTCGTATTAGGATGTGCTTTTCATTTGGAAACTTTCTTTGCTCTTTGAAAATGTATGAAAAACTCACGGTTTTTGAGTAAATTCCTGTGAAACATTGGCGTGTACTTGTGTACGCAAACTGGGCTCCTTCTAGGAAGCTTGATGTAACAGTTCTCTAATTAGAATGAATTTGCAACAGGAAACTCTTCCATCGCAACTAGTTTTTTATTTGGAAACTTTCTGGGCTCTTGGAAATTTTGCAAAAAACTCAAGATTTTTGAGTAAATCAATGGAAATTAATCTCGTGTTCTTGCATAATCAAAGATCGCTTACTCTAATGGGCTTGTTATAGAAGTGTTCTAATTAACCCAAATTAGACTGAAAAACTTCATCTAGCAAAGTGTTTTTCATTCGGAAGCTTTATGTGCTCTTTGGATTTGCGGGAAAACTGGCGGTTTTTGGGTGAATAATTTCCTTACTTCTATCAATGTTTTTGCCGTAGTTCTTTAACTAACGTGAATTTGCCAATACAAAATTTCGCATTATTATACGTTTTCCAATTGAAAACTTTGTGTGCTCGTTGAAAATTTATGAAAAACTAACAGTTTTTGAGTAAATAATTGCGAAACATTAGTGTGTACCTAACTTGTCTTCCTCAAGGAAGCTTGCTGTAGTGGTTCTTCTAATTAGAATGAATTTTCAACTGGAAAGTCTCCTGTCGGGAATAGTTTTACATTTGGGCAAGCTTTTTGGACTCCTGGAAATTATGTGAAAAACTCAAGGTTTTTAAGGGAATCAATGGAAGACATTCTCGTATTTTTGCATGGATGAAGGTCGTTTACTCTAGAGGGCGTATAGTAGAAGTTCTCTAATTAACGCGAATGAGACTGAAAAATTCCGTGCCAGAAAGAGTTTTCTAATTGGAAACTTTACGTATTCTGTGGATGTTGGCGGACAAGTAGCGGTTTTTGGGTAAATAATGTATTTTCTTCTTACAAGATTGTTGCAGTAGTTCTCTAATTATCCCAAAATTTCCAAAGCAAATTTTTATGGTGGGACCATTTGCATTTAGAAATTCTGTTCTCTTCAAAAATTAGCGAAAAACTCACGGTTTTTAATACCGAAATCATTGGGAAACATTGATGTGCACTTATGTACAAACTTTGCTCCCTTCAGGAAGTAGCCTCTGAAGTAGCTCTCTAATTACAATAAATTTTCAGCTCGAAAATTGCCTGTCGGGACTTTTTTTCGTCTGAGAACGTTTTGTGTCCTTTGCATTTTCTCGAAAAACTTACGGCTGAGGAGTAAATCAATAAAAAACATTCGCGCGTACTTGCATAGTCAGTACGGCTTACTCTAGTAGAACATTGTATTTAATGCCAAAATAGTTCTTCATTATTTTAATTAATTAATAATTAATTCTAATCTCTGGTATAACGCGCATGTTGCCTAATCAGCAATTTTTATTTAAATTTCGTTTTCTCTTATGTGGAGACACCTATTTAAATGCAAGGAAACTTGCGTCTTCAATATAACAGGCAAATTCGTTCGATCAGTTCAATCAACTAGTGAATGAAAACCTATTTACAGTCAAAAATTTAAGCAAATTTCAGAAAATATGCCTTATGAATAAAAGTAAACACTTTCACGGACTCTTTCAATGAAGATTAAACGGCTTTTGCTACTCCAATTCAGCCACTCAATCAGAACGTTTCTGAAAAAGGCACGATGAAGAAGGAATTTGAAGTCAAAACCATTTATTTTCACACCAAAATGCAACGAATTTAAATTAATATTTAGAATTAGGACAAAAACGCTTTAATAAAATGACGTTATTGAACCACCCCAGTTTCATTCAGATGATCAGAGCGCAAAACGCGTAGCTCGGTTTCTTAAAAGTTCTCAGGAAACATTAAAAACGAATATCTACACTTATTCTTACAATTTTTTTCAATTATTATATTTATTTGTTTCTTTAAATTTGACTAGAATTTAAAAAAAACTTTTTCAACGCCAGATTTCGGAAAGGCATCACTTACTAGGGAACTAATATAAATCTAAACAAAACGACAGATCGAATAGAACAAGATTTTAGAAATAATCTTCTGCACAAATTTACAAGTTATAATTAATTAATTGCACATAGCACTTTTATACAGCTTTGTGTTCGATCATATTTTTAATTCCATTCTGTAAAACGTGTTTTTTTTTGTCACGAAATCCTGCATTTACGGCTCAAAGCTCTAGTTAAAACACGCCTGCTATACATACATCTGAAACGAAAGGGATGCCTTGGAAATTCTACAATTTTTAAACGTCTTTTTCGGCAAATGTCTCGTCCTGTTCGCTCATGGATTTCTTTCAAGTGCATTTTAACATAAAAAATTTTAGGACGTAGGATATTGCAACATATCCTCCAAAAGACCGAAGAATGTTTATAAACCGTCAGATTTTGCTTCATGGGTTTTGTTGCTAAAAATCATTCAAAACTGAAAAAAACACCAGTCAGCAACCAACCGTTTTCGATTAAAAAGCCTGCATCATTCATTGCTCGCAGACTACGTCATACTAATTTATCGCATATAACTCTACTTTTGCATCACTTTCTTGTAATCAAACATATGATAATTTATTATCTACTCAATTCAGACCTTCTTCAGTAACTTATTGGCGCATAATTAATTAAACAAACTTCTTAAACCACAAAAGGAGTTTTTTTACAGTTAGGAATTTTGTTCTTCTTCTTTATCTTTGGCCAATGAACTATATGCAAGTACCTAAAACGGACCCTATGCACGATAAAAGAAAGTGAGGCAAAATCAAAATGTAGACCCTCTGTCCTGACGGGTGTATGTCTTTTTCTATCTCATTGACTTAGACGGAGATTTGCTGTAATATTTAGCAATTTTGTTTTTTTTTAAACAATTACAGTATGATAGATAAGTTATTGCTGAAAATATAACAAAATTGAACTCTCTTAAAGAATCATAATTACAATTCTGAAGTGGAATGATGGAGAAGCAAAAAGGTAAAAGCAAAATTAATACACGAAAAATAGGCATAAAATACTTATATATAGTATATAGTAAAAAAATATATAGTTTCACAAAAAACTTCAAGACTTACACTTTTTTATTTAGGTTTTATCAATTGTTAAATAGTTTGATTTTTGCCATTTTTTGCCTTAATGTTGCAGCATTTCCATGCAACTTCATATTAAGAAGTGAAGAGTGGTGGTGCATTCGACATTTTATAAAAAGTCCAGAATTTTTCGGATGAGCTAAATCTCGTGGCACTCCTCATCCATAAATTCTTGAGGTTGAGGCATAGAGAAAGTGAAATAGCCATATTAACAATTCTCTTCTTTACATTTATTGGACTCTTTAGAATTTCGTCCTTTTGTAACATATACCGGAATTGTCTTTCTGCGAAATGTAGAATTTTATACACAGTATGAGATGCATAAAGAAGACCTCCACGAGATACAAATATTAAATTTTTTTAAAGGTCCGCCTCGCCGCCAATCCGCCTGATCAAAACCATTCTCAACTTGGGATTCTGAGCAAATAGACACCTGAAAGTATTCTGCTTTTATTTCGTTCTAACTTGAATCCGAGAAATGTACAAAAGC